TATATGACATTTATGATTTATGAACTAGAGCTCTCCATCATTATTTTATTACAAGTTCAATTTTTAATTATGGCAAATGATTGAAAAACTTTGTCTCCTCCTCAGATGATCATTAAACGTCTAATATTTTCTAACTTTAATTATTTGGCATTAATTGTCCTTTTGTAATTAGTGTTAGCCCCTAAATACTTGTAAATTAGTTTTAATAATAAAAATTTCACATATGTGCTTCTTTCCTTAATTCTTTGGTATTAATTGTTCTTTGGCTAATCTTCTTTCCTTCTTTTCCTTGGGTGAATTTCACATATGTGCTTCTTTCTATCTTTTCTTACAAAGATACTTTTTAGGAAAGAATTAATTTTCATTATTAAAACTGATTTACAAGTATTTAGGGGCTAACACTAATTACAAAAGAACAATTAATACCAAAGAATTAAAGTTAGAAAATATTAGATGTTCAACGATCATATGAGGAGGAGACGATGTTTTCCAATCATTTGTCATAATTGAAAATTGAACTTGTAATAAAATAATGATGGAGAGGTCTAGTTCATAAATCATAAATGCCATACATTAATCCTCATCCAACATTAACTTACCACATAATTACTCTATAAATTCACCCATATTTGAATATAGACTGGAAGCAATCCCCAAGAATAGCTAAACAATGGATTCTGACTTAACATAACACAAGCACAAAAGAAACATAATTACTGATTCTTTAAAAATAAGTTATAGGATTAAGCTAATAAAACACGAATAAAAGGTTAATCCGGTAAGTATATGATTGCTGGATTTTCTGGCCTAAAGGTCCTAAACAGAAGATAAATGAAATAAATAGCTTAGCGATTTTAGCATTTATCCCAAACCTGCAACCCACCCTGCACCGCATGATTTTTATTAAAAAATATCTAAACGTGTCTTGCCCCGCCTCGTCCCGCCCTGCCCCTCAAAAGTTATACTCGCCCTGGTCTGTTGACGTCCCTATATCTAAAGGAAAATTTACAAAAATTGTCTTCCACAACTAGGGTTCTTCCTTTTTCTCCCTCTTTCTCTCAAAATTGATCAATGACTAATTCTGACTAGGCCTACTTTGCTTCCAAACTTTTAAGAGAAATCCTACTGAAACTACCTGTTAAATCTTTAATTTGATTCACAGTTGTCTGCAAATCATGTCATTCACTCATCACCAATTTTTCTTTCATCTCCGCTCACCTCACCCAAACCCCACATTCCAACACCTTTCTTGTTAGGCATTACGTCAGAACTCGCAAAAGAGAGCACTATTCGTTGTTTAAAGAATCTAAGAATTGACCCTTTTCCTTGGATTTTACACCGAAACTAGATTTTCCTTACAAACGCCAACAAGGGTATTTTAAACTTGTTGGCAACTGCACTGGCATCGTGTGTTTATATGATGATTTTCTTGGTGAGTTGCGGAGTCTTGTTCTATGGAGCCCTTCTATTCATAAGTTTATAAGTATACCTATGCCTTCAATTAAGCCTCAGTTGCCTCATATGTTTGTTCTTGGATTTGGTGTTGATTTGTCTGAGACTGATAACTATAAGTTGGTTAGACTTGTGTATCATATGAATAATGTGTTCGGGTATAATGGTTCTCCTGAGATTGAAATTTATTTGATTAATAGTGGGTTTGGAGGAGAGTGGTAGGAGTTGAGATTAATCATTGCATGGTGGAGGTTATGTGGTCTCGGGTTTTTGTTAATAGAGTTGTACATTGGATTGTGTATAATGTGGTTCCGAATGGTTGTGGAATTCAGAGTTTAGTTATATCTTTTAGTATAGCGGATGAGGTGTATAGGGAGATTATGTTGTCGGATGCTTTAGCTGGTGTAACTCCAACAAGTTGATTGATTATTTTGTTTGAGGAATCACTTGTTGTTGTTAATTATGGGAGGGAGATAGATGGCGCTTCATCTAAAGTATGGGTGATAAAACAGTATAAAGTTTTGGAATCTAGGAGTAGATTGTACTATATAAATTTGGTTGCAGGTATGGAGAAAGTTGTTGGATTTAGGAATAACGGTGACGTTTTGTTTTCAACTAGGAGGAATGATCTGGTTTCTTATGATCCAAATAGTGGACAAAATACAGATCTTTGTATTCGAGGGATCCCTCATTTGTTTTATGTTCAGAATTACATGGAATCACTTATTTTGCTCAAAGGAGCAATGTCAATTTGGGTGGGTTCTTAGAAGGAATGGAGGTTTATGGACTTAATGAGTAGCTGGACTACATAATTTATTGATACAATAATGAAGAATGTAATCAAAAGGTAGGGTATTTCACCAAAGTTTGTGGTTGTTTCAAGGTAGTGGAAGTGAAAGATGTTTTATCAAATTTGGTATTTGATAATTATAATATTCTGAATGTTGAACTTTTGTTTTCCATTTACTTGCATTACATTAGTTGTTATTGTACTCTTGTTGCTTTTTGATGTATTTTCAGTTTAATTGTTGTTATTCCTTATCTTTATCAGTTGATTGTCATATTATATTCTTGTAGTTACTGTGATGTTACTAGCTGATCAATTTCATTGTTTTTGGTTTTTTGAGCTAAATATGGCTAGTCCATTCAAGGTTGCCAAATCCGACAATAAGGCTGACTTTTATAGCAGAGGCCCTGGTGAAGCTGCTTTTAGCTCTAATAAGAAAACCCAAGAGTATTTATTTTAATCAAGAATTTATATTGATTACTTGATTGAGTATACAACATCCATTGGTGTATATATCCTTATTCATTGAGCCCTAGATGTAAGGTATTAGTCGCAGAAAAGGAATTAAGTCTTACGAGTTTGGATCGTTCTGAAAACATTTGATCGATATACAAAGAAGAGTAGCATCATTATGTTAATTGGACTTAACATTCATACAATACCAGTTGAATCATAATGGCCTCAAGCAATTTTCGAACTATGTTGCTTGAATCATATCGAAGAAGCTACTATATTGAGTACTTGTAACAAAATTGAGATATATGTTATCGCGCTTTCCCAAAATTGTGAAATCAAAGAAGTGACTAAATGAATCTTCAAGTATAGTAGAGTTCTAGTTACAGAGCTCCGCCAACAATGATTTTCGTTATACAATAAGGAAGCCACACAAAATTGTCCAAACTATCCAAAAACTGAGAAAGTGAAAAACAATTAAAGCACTTAAAGACTCCCTTGAGACCATTTCAAGTATCAAAAAGTTGAAAGCATTAAGTCCGCTGAGGTTGAAAAGTGTTTGTCTAAGAAAGGTGTTGGTCATCGCTTTGAAAATAGCAAGAATACAATCTATGATCTCAGTCTAGGGATAGTAAACAAGATGCTACATGGATCAATGCAGCATCTGAAATCATGTGATGGAACTCGAAATCGGACTTTGAGTGACATATATACTTGAAAAATATGCAACAAAATATTTTATCTTGAAAAGCACAACATGACAACTAAAAAGGAAATGAGGAATCATAAATTTTTGTTGTACAACAAAGTTGCTACACAAAAATGTCCAACTATCAAAGAGTTGAGAAAGTGAAAAAAAATTGAAGCACTTAAGGACTCCCTTGAGACCATTTCAACTATTAAAAAGCTAAAAGAATTAGGTTTGTTGTGGTTGGAAAATTTTTATCTAACATAGGTGATGATCATCTCTCCAAAAACAACAAGAAATTCGATCTATGAGATCATGTTATGGAATGCAGAATCTGACTTCGTAACATATACACTTGAAAATATGCAACAAAATATTTTATCTTGATACAGAAATGGAACACAAGTTATGATACAACAAAATCAAAAGCAATCTTCTTGAGGTCAGCCAAGTTCAATGAGAGGATGTAATTTACTAGTTTTTTTTTTTTAATATGGACCTATTTTTTCAATATATTAGGGGCTCAATGGGTGACACCATACTCGAATGTATCAAGAAGACAAGGAGAACTATCCCCGCTTGTTTCTTTAGACAATCCGGAATGATAAAAATAGAAGACAAGGTCGCATAAATGCATACTAAGTATAGATCCTTAAGACTTTTGGCTCTTTGCAGCACTGATATTTACAGGCCTCTCTCTCTTTCGCTATTGTGCAGGGTCCATTACTAGCTTAGTACTTGGTTTACAAAGTGAAGAATATGCACTTGGCTTGCTAAAAAACCAACTAGTGTGGGTTGAGCTAAATTAGGCATTAACTTCATCATGCCATTTTCGACATCAGGGGGAAATAGGGAAATTATCACTATCAAATCACACTAGAAGCAATGAAATGGTAATAATGTGCATAGCTGCATATTCAACGAAATAGTTAGACCAGTGCAATTGATGAGACACAATATGAGTTTTACTGTTATAGAGAAGTGTATTAATTTATTAATATGTATGTGTATTTATACAAGAGAGCAAACTACAAATAAGGAAAGAATCAACTACTACAGGATTGTGAAATTCACCTAATTATAATAGAAACTAAACCACTAATGAGATACTAAGATATGGAATATCAATCAAGAGATCTCACTAATACACAAAACACCTTATTGCCGGATTTGGCAACCTTGAAAGGACTGGCCAAATTTAGCTCAAAAAAGCAAAAACAATGAAATCGATAAGATAGTAACATCACAGTAACTACTCGAAGATAATATCACAATCAACTAATAAAGTCATAAAGATAAGGAATCACAACAATTTAATTAAAATACATCAGAAGGCATCAGGAATACAGTAACAACTAATGTAATGCAAGTAAATGGAAAACAAAAGTTCAACATTCAGAACATTATGATTATCAAATACCAAATTTCATAAAAACATTTTTCACTTCCACTACCTTGAAACAACCACAAACTTTGGTGAAATACCCTATCTTCTGATCACATTCTTCATTATTGTATCTATAAATTCTGTAGTCCAGCTACTCATTAAGTCCATAAGCCTCCATTCCTCCCAAGAACCCACCCGAATTGACATTGTTCCCTTTGAGCAAAATAAGTGATTCACTGTAATTCTAAACATAAAACAAGTGAGAGATCCCCAAGATCCGTATTTCGTCCACTATTTGGATCATAAGAAACTAGATCATTCCTCCTAGTTGAAAACAAAATGTCACCGTTGTTCCTAAATCCAACAACTTTCTCCATACCTACAACCAAATTTATACGGTACAATCTACTCCAAGATTCCAAAACTCCATACTGCTTCATCACCCATACTTCACATGAAGCGCCATCTATCTCCCTCCCATAATTAACAACAACAAGTGATTCCTCAAACAACATAATTGATAAATTTGTTAGAGTTACACCAGCTAACGCATCCGTCAACATAATCTCCCCAAACACCTCATCCTCTATACTAAAAGACATAACTAAACTCCGAATTTCACAACCATTCGGAACCACATCATACGCAATCCAATGTAAAACTCCATTAACAAAAGCTTGAGACCACATAACATCCACCATGCAATGCTTAATCTCAACTCCTACCACTCTCCTCCAAACCCCACTAATAATCGAATAAATTTCAATCTTAGGAGGACCATTATACCCGAACACAATATTTGTATGATACACAAGTCTAACCAACTTATAGTCATCAGTCTCAAGCAAATCAACACCAAATCCAAGAACAAACATATGAGGTGACTAAGGCTTAATTTAAGGTATAGGTATACTTATAAACTTATGAATAGAAGGGTTCCATAGAACAAGACTCCGCAACTCACCAAGAAAACAATCATACAAACACATGATGCCATTGCAACTGCCAACAATTTTGAAATACCCTTGTTGGCATTTGAAAGGGAAATTATGTTCCGATGTAAAATCCAAGGAAAAATGTCGATTCTTAGATTCTTGAAACAATGAATAGTGCTCTCTTTTGTGAGTTCTAACGTAATACCTGACAAGAAGGGTGTTGGAATGTGGGGCTTGGGCGAGGTAAGCGGAGATGAAAGAAAAAATGGTGATGAGTGAATGCGATGATTTGCAGACAACTGTGAATCGAATTAAGGATTTAACAGGTAGTTTCAGTAGGATTTCTCTCAAAAATTCGGAACCAAAGTAGGCAGAGTCAGAATTAGTCATTGATCAATTTGAGAGAAAGAGGGAGAGACAGGAAGAACCCTAGTTGTGGCAGACAATTTTGATAAAACGTGCTTTAAATATAGGGATGTCTACGGGCCAGGGCGAATATAGCTTTTGAGGGGAGGGGCGGGACGAGGCGGGGCAGGATAAGTTTAGATATTTTTTAATAAAAATCATGCGGTGTAGAGCGGGTTGCGGGTTTGGAATAAATGCTAAAATAGCTAAGCCATTTCTTTCACTTATAGGAAAAGAAAGTAAGAAGATAAGTGAAATAAATAGCTTAGCGATTTTAGCATTTATCCCAAAACCACAACCCACCCTGCACCGCATGATTTTGATTAAAAAATATCTAAACTTTTCCTACCCCGCCTCGTCCCGCCCCGCCCTTCAAAAGTTATATCTGTCCTAGCCTGTTGACATCCCTATATTTAGAGCAAATTTTACAAAAAATGTCTTCCACAACTAGGGTTCTTCCTCTCTCTCCCTCTTTCTCTCAAAATTGATCAATGACTAATTCTGACTCTACCTACTTTGGTTCCGAACTTTTGAAAGAAATCCTACTGAAACTACCTGTTAAATCCTTAATTCGATTCACAATTGTCTGCAAATTGTAGCATTCACTCATCACCAATTTTTCTTTCATCTCCACTCACCTCGCCCAAACCCCATATTCCAACACCTTTCTTGTTAGGCGTTACGTCAGAACTCGCAAAAGAGAGCACTATTCGTTGTTTCAAGAATCTAAGAATCGACCCTTTTCCCTGGATTTTACATCGAAACTGAATTTCCCTTTCAAATGCAAAAAGGGTATTTCAAAATTGTTGGCAACTACAATGGCATCGTGTGTTTGTATGATGAGTTGCAGAGTCTTGTTCTGTGGAACCCTTCTATTCATAAGTTTATAAGTATACCTATGCCTTCAATTAAGCCTCAGTCACCTCATATATTTGTTCTTGGATTTGGTGTTGATTTGTCTGAGACTGATGACTATAAGTTGGTTAGACTTGTGTATCATATGAATATTTTGTTTGGGTATAATGGTCCTCATGAGATTGAAATTTATTCGATTAATAGTGGGGTTTGGAGGAGAGTGGTAGGAGTTGAGATTAAGCATTGCATGGTGGAGGTTATGTGGTTCGGGCATTTGTTAATGGAGTTGTACATTGGATTGCGTATGATGTGGTTCCGAATGTTTGTGGAATTCGGAGTTTAGTTATGTCTTTTAGTATAGCGGATGAGATGTTTGGGGAGATTATGCTTCCGGATGCTTTAGATGGTGTAACTCCAACAAATTTATCGATTATGTTGTTTGAGGAATCACTTGTTGTTGTTAATTATGGGAGGGAGATAGATGGCGCTTCATGTGAAGTATGGGTGATGAAGTAGTATGGTGTTTTGGAATCTTAGAGTAGATTGTACGGTATAAATTTGGTTGCAGGTATAGAGAAAGTTGTTGGATTTAGGAACAACGATGACGTTTTGTTTTCAACTAGGAGGACTAATCTGGTTTCTTATGATCCAAATAGTGGACGAAATATGGATCCTGGTATTCGAGGGATCTCTTACTTGTTTTATGTTTAGAATTACAAGGAATAACTTATTTTGCTCAAAGGGAACAGTGTCAATTCGGATGGGTTCTTGGGAGGAATGGAGGCTTATGGACCTAATGAGCAGCTGGACTACAAAATTTAAATGAAGAATGTGATCAGAAGGTAGGGTATTTCACCAAAGTTTGTGGGTGTTTCAAGGTAGTGTAAGTGAAAGATGTTTTATCAAATTTGGTATTTGATAATTATAATGTTCTGAATGTTGCTTTTTGATGTATTTTCAGTTTAATTGTTGTGATTCCTTATCTTTATGACTTTATTAGTTGATTGTCATTTTATCTTCTTGTAGTTACTGTGATGTTACTAACTGATCGATTTAATTGTTTTAGCTTTTTTTGAGCTAAATATGGCCAGTCCTTTCAAGGTTGCCAAATCCGGCAATAAGGTGTTTTGTGTCTCATCAATTGCACTGGTCTAACTATTTGGCTGAATATGCAGTTATGCACATTATTACCATTTCATTGCTTCTAGTGTGATTTGATAGTCATAATTTCCATATTTCTCCCTGATGTCGGAAATGGCGTGATGAAGTAAATGCATAATGCCTAATTTAGCTCAACCCACACTAGGTCATTGCTAATACAAAGGGGTTCACACGAGATATTTAAAAACAACAGGACCAAATGTTCCTAATTGGCTGATTCTTCAAGAAATTTCCAACTTAACATATTATAGGCCTTTTTGACATCAACTTTCACGAGGCATCTAGGAGTTGTCTTTCTATCATATTGTTTGAGCAAATCATGACATATAAGCAGATTATGAATCATAGATCTTCCTAGTTTAAAGATTGCATGATTATCTGCTACTATATGAGCAACAGCCTCCTTCAGTCTACTTGAGCATTATTCCTAATACAACCTACCAAACGACGACTACATTGCAACATGATACTTGTCTATATTGACTAGCATTTTCTTGGACAATAAACTTTTGGAATGAGTTAAATATTAGAAGTGATTTGTTAAGAGCAGTTCACCATTCCTGAAAAAATCATCAACTCTTTCATTCTTCTCAATCAAGCAGATTTGAAATCATCTGGCTCAGGACTTTTATTCTTCTCAATCCCAAACATACAATCTTCACATCCTTGTATGTGTGGACTCTGTTAGCTTTGACTCTACTTGAAGTTGTCTACAAACACTTTAGTAATGCTTACAGAATTAGTTTTCAGGTTTCCCTGTGCTTGTTAGCAGTCATTTCTGTTACAGGTTGTATTGGAATTGTTAACGCACATCACCAAAATAAACAACTTAGTTAAATCTGGACAAGGACAGTGATCTGGATTGCTAGTGTTATTTGTTCACGCACGATTAACCAAATGATGATACATCTGTCAAATATTATCCGGAGGACAACCAATTAAAGATTTTGACTAGATGAGGGGGCTCTATTAATGCTTTTATATATATATATATTGATTAGTATGCCAGACAAGGGACAATCATATAAATAATATCAATTCAGCTGCGTAAATACATGAACGGCTGTATTTCACAAAAATAGACGAAGAACGAAAGTAGCAGCTCTGGCGATCTAAAACATCATACCAATTTCACAGCTTCAAAACCCAATATCATACAGTTAGGAACTATGGCCACAAACACTAGTGAAGAATCCCAGACAGCAGTAAACAAACTAGTCAGCATCCACCGAAGTAATATCTTTGTTCACAATCTGCAAAGGGATAGTTCAAGGTTAATTGGTATTTGGAGTCGACCAAATGGAAAGTTTGTCAAATTGCAACAAGCATCAAGTATTAATGTAAATTAGACACACTTTCTATTTGTAGGATTGGTTGCTAGACTTATCACCCAGCTTCCCAAATAGGGAGAAACAAATCATATATTTTATTGATGCACAGATTGTGGTACGTTGGAAATCTAGTGGATACATTTCTTGCAACAAATAAATGATATCCACACAAATCTACTCCAGGGACCATAGGGACGCAGCAAAAGCTTATTACTACAATGATTCAATAGACAGTTCAGTTCATAATCCAGGTGAATGCAACTCTCTTCAGCTAGAAGTACCCTTGCAGCAGACTAAAATAGGAGATAATTGTATACTAAAACCATAAGATGCAACAAAAGTCTGAATGATACCTTTGATATATGCTCTTTCATTCCATCATTAATTGGCCCATCTAGTGACCTCTCAGCAAGTTCATAAAACGTTGCATTACCTTCTGGACCATTAACTTTCTCTTTGTGCAAGTATCTGTGGATGTGCAAAAATCAGAACACCAGAAAGCAGAACTATATGACATGGACATGGAATCCTCTGGTTTGTCGGTTCTAACCTTTGTTGAACAATTGCTTCCAATGCTAGTTTGAGGTTTCCATGAACAGGATGACTTTCATCAGTTTCAGACAATCCCAGTCGTCTCAATTGATGCCAAAGATTTTCTTCCAACACATTGATAGCAGCAAATGTAAGCTTCATTCCTCTCATTAGATATTAGGAAGTAAAAGACATGGAATAAATAGGAATTGAAAAATATGTTCAAGCAAAAACGAAATTGCAAATATACCTTCATTAATTTTGCCTCCAGCAAGACGAACAATGCTAGTAACGGCAAAAGTAAGAGCAGTGACGTGTGATTTATTTTCATCCTCCACAAATGCCTTGTATACATCTGCCGGTAGCTGACTTCTGAGAATATATGACTTTGCATCAGCTGTCACTGTCCATCATGAAAAAGTCCATGTTGAAAATACACAATTCAACAACAAAATACACAGCCTATGGTTCCGAATAGATTAACAACACAAACAGTTTGCAGCTTAAAATGAAGAATTCCATTTTGCAAGCCTCAATCATGAATACTACTAACTAATACCTATCTTATACAATATACATCACAGTTCCAACTTTAGTTTGTTTTTGAAGATTACTTATTACAAGTAACAAATATCCACAGTTTGTACTATGTATCTA